GCTCTCGAGTGCGTCCAGTGTGTCAAAGTCCACCTCGCCGCCCTCAACGCCGTCCAGGTCCTCCTCCTCACCCTCCCCCTCAACAGGGTACTCCTGGGGTGCAAAGAATTTGATGCATGGAACAATCTGAGATTAGGGGAGGCAGCTGATGAAGCAGTGGGTTCGCCTGCGTGGATGCGTGCATGCGTGAACACTTGCGCGTGGCGTGGACGTGTGAGAGAGCACGGGTCGCATGGCGGGTGGGCTCGCCCCTGCGCCGGGACATGGCTAAATGCTCAGGTCCATTCACCTGTGCACGTACACTCACAGACGCCTGGAGCCCCCCCCCCCAAATTGCTCACGACACCTCCTCCCCGTACACACATATATGCACACACACACACACACACACACACACACACACACACACACACGCGCGCGCGCGCACCTCCTCGTCCTCCTCGTCCAGCTCCTCCCCGGCCGCGATGCGCTCCGCCGCCCTCTCACTCTTGTGCTTGAGCTCCTGGGGCCGACCACGAGATGGGTCCAGGGAACGACCGCAAAGCCAATCAGGCAAGGTGCCGCATGAGACACGTGTAGACCAGCATCGCAGTTCTCAAGGGGCAGCAGGGGCCGCTGCGAGCATGTCGGGCGGTATGCCCCATGCAGACGAAACGAGCTGCACCCACCACTAATCCCACGCGCACCGCCCCCCCCTTCGCCGCAGCCGCCGCCGCCGCCGCAGCCGGCGGCGGCGGCGGCGGACAGCAGAGCCACCCCTGCGCCCCCGCCGGGGCCGCCCGAGGTGACGCAGGCCGGGGCAAAACCCCTGCCCCTGGGCCGGCCCTCGGCAAATTTGCACCACATTCTGGTGGCCCGTCCCCTCCCGCCTGCCGCTCTGGGCGCCCCGATCGGCCCCAAAGGCGCTCCTCGGCCCCAGGCCCCCCCCCACCTGGAAGCGCCTCTCCTTCTCCTTCTCGTTGCGCGCCGCCTCGTCCTCGCCCTCCCCCTCGACCTCCTCCTCCTCTGACCGCTCCGCGTCCTCCTCATCCCCGTCCTCGCCCAGGCCCGCCTTGAGGCCTGCGGGGCCAGGGTTCAGGGTTTTAGATATTTCAGGCCTCAGGGTTGAGATGAAGGTTCCAGGAGGCGGCGCTGAAAGCCCTCAAGGGGTCCCGCTCCTGACACCCACCCACCCCCACCGCGCAGAGCGCGCGCGCTCCCCACGGCTGCGCGGGATGCCGCGCGCCTTCGCCTCTCTATCCCTGTTTCCAGGCCCCCCTGCAAGTGCTGCGCTGCACACACAATCCTCCACGCACGATACCCCTCAAAGACCATATGCAACCCACACAACTCAACGCCCTCATCCCTCCCAAACAACACAACCCTCCCCCCGCTTCCGCCGGCCGGGACGTTCCGACCGGGTGGATGGGTTCTGAGGAGTCTTGTTTCCAGGGCTGCTGCCCGCCCCGGTTCCCCGCCGCGACCCCGACATCTGCAAAACACGCACGCCCCCGCCCCTCACGCAACGAAGCAACAAACAACGATGGTGATGCATGACGCAGGCACGACAGAGAATGATGGTGCGGCCCCCCACCTAGCTCCTTGCGCGTGAAGGGGTCATCCGCCAGGTCATCATCGCTGGCGCCCTGGGACTGGTCGTCATCATCAGGCTCCCCCTCATATTCCCAGTGGGCGTTCTGGCGCGTGGTTTGCGGTTGCGTGTGTGTTTGAGTGGGGATGTGAGTTTGTGTGTGTGTGTGTGTGCATGCGAGTTCATGTGCGTGGCTGTACGTGAGTTCATATGTGTGTGTTTGTGTGTGTGGATGTGCGAGACAGTGCGCGTGTGGTGCGCACGCATGTGTCAGGGAGGGGGGGCTTCCAAAGAGCCATGAGAGATGCGCAGCACACGATGTGGCGCCGGGGCCGCGCCGAGGCAGCGGCCGGCCAGGGCTACCCCGCGCCCGGCAAACCCTCGCCGTGCCGCGAGGCCGCCAGATCGCGCCCCAGATCGCACCAGATCTCACCTCGTCGGGCGCCTGCGGCCTCAGCTCATCCACCTCTCCCTTGTAAATGTCCTCAGGCACCTCGTCCTCCGCCAACGCCCCGCCCTCCTCCCCAGCATCCCCGCCGCCGCCGCCGCCGCGTTTGCCGCCTGCGGGGCGAAGTTTTGGGTGGTGGTGCGTTCAGGACTTGCTGAGTTTGTTGGGGGAGTTGTGACGGCTTGGGAGATGCGATGGCTTATAGGGCTGGGCCAGGCAGCGTCGGGGCGAGGGGCGGGGGACCGCCAGTATCGCGGAGGGGCAGAGGGCCGCAGAGGCCCGCTCTTTGGCTAAATGCAGCTATACTCAGGTGATCAATCGGCCTGACTGTACAGCGAGCGCCGCGGCGCTTGCGCCTCATTTCGCTCCATTACCCACAACCGCGGGCCGCACGCTGGCCGGCTGCCGCTTGCAAGCGCTGCCCAACGGCAACACACGCCTAGGCCCGCGCCTGCGCCTGCGCCCGCGCCGCTCACCGCCGCCGCCCTTCCGCCCACGCCCCTTCTTTCCGCCCGGCTCGTCGTCGTCGGTGCCCCACAGATCGTACTCGTCTGCGCGGGCAGGGTTGACCACAGTAACGCGAGTTTGACCGGAGTTGGCCGCTGGTTGACCGGTGGTCCGTCAGTCACTCCGGCAAAATGGCGGCTGTCGTTAGCATGAGGAAGGCAATGCGTGAATGCTGATGTAGTGGCACACAATGCAACAATGGCGCCACCCTTGACGCCGCCTAGATGACGCCCTGCGGCCCACCCAAAACCCTGGCACAAAACGGGCGTGCGCAGCGCGGGGTTCGAACCTTCGTCGTCAGCGCCGACGACGTTGGGACGGTCGAGCTCGTCGGCCATCGCCGCGATCTGCGGCGGCGGCGGCGGTGGTGGGGGAGGGGCCGTCAAAAGGTGGCGCGCTTGCCTCTTCCAGACGCAACGCTCGCCTCGATAAGCCGGGGGCCGCTCGCAACGTGCAAAACAAGCAGCCTGCTGCCTCGCCAGGCTTGTGGGACCCTCTACAATACATTCACGGCGACCCCTCACCTGGGCCGCAGATGGAGCAAAGTTCTCTCGGAAGGTTTTGTCCCTCTGGGCATCTTCCTCTGCATCCGCGGCCGCCTTCCGCACTGACTTGGGAGCAAACC